ATATTAGTGCCTCCGTTTTTTAATATTTGGACATTATAATTCAAGGCATTAAGAAATGCATGAGTTCAGAATACATAACTGTATAGTGTCAAACTTCATTATACTTTTTACATTAGTGGATATTACAGTTTACGCGATACAAGTGTATGCGCGTTCAGAATTTTATAATACGATACTAGTAAAATTATAATAATTTTCAGATTTACATTCACTGTTTTCCGCAGTCGTTCTCCCGTTGCTCCGTTTCAATAGTAATTCAGAAAATTACACGGAGAACGTGACAATTAAATAAATCGCGAGTCCCATACAAAGCGAAACTGAATAATTGCAAAACTGTTGTTATAGCTGTAGTTAAAACAAATGGCCGATGAGGCACTCGCTGACCTTACTTTCATAAATGGTACTATAGGCCGTAAATTAACTTGAGTTTGCCATTCAATTACAATAATTGTCGGAGAACATTTAGATTTGATAGTTCTGTTTGATTTCTTTAATTGGTCTCGTCTAAAATTGGAGTTTAAATGTAAAATGATATATCGAGATTGTAATTTTTAGGAAACATAAACCAGTTAGCGGGGACAGATTCATAAGTGATTCTAAGGAAACATAAACTAGTTAGCGGTGACAGATTCATAGCTACGTGATTGTAAGGTTACGCAATAAGAAGAACCCGTATTAATATTGCACAGAACTCGAAGGACTTAGTGGTGCTCTCATATATACTCTTATACATTAATTATAATTACATTATATAATTATATAATTACATTATATAATATGCAAACTAACCTTTGGAATATCGAAATCCATGCACGAGTTATTTAAGATATTTAAAGCTTGAACAGGTCAAGTAAGCGAAAATTTAAGACATTTTCTGATTCGTCGTGCAATTGCTTGTGATTTTCAATTATCGACTTAAAATCTACTGTTACTTCTATTCCATCTAACGAGTCTAGATTTCTTCTTGAAACAATTTTCTAGACAGATTTCGTTTTCTATGTAAAACTGCGAGTGCATCATTAATCTAATCAACTCTATTGGGACAAACGTTTTCACCAGCATTCATTTGTAATTCCGTGGCTAGAATCAAATTAGCTGAGTAGTACATGAATTTAACATGTCACAGGTTGGTTATGTAATGCACTGCTATTACAGTCTAGTTCTAACGTTGTAAACCTTTTTTCGATTTGTCGTTAATTAAATAGATTCTGCTTGTTATTTTCGGACTTTTTTGTAATAGTATCGTTTCCATTTTCATTCGTAAAGGGCCCAGTCGGATAAGACGATTAAATCTGCCCTTAACGGCTCATGTTACCCCTTCGGTGACTTCTTAAAATTTTGAAAAATATTTGGCCCATTTTGGATTACAAGCCACATGTTAGAGAATTTTTTCAGATTTCTTGGTTGCGAGTTGTGGTAACAAAAAATGAAAAACCAAAAAGAATCGGAAAATTATAGATCTCTCAATAGATCTATCGCCATTTTGATCCTATCAAAGAATATTTGCAAGCGCGGTGTTGTCAATTTTTGTCAGACTTGTAGCAACAGATTTTTGGCAAAAATAAAAACCGAATCATCGACGTTTTTTTCTGTGAAAAACTCAGTTATAGTCGATTTTGTCCACTCGATGTGTATATTATACAGTGTTGAACGTTCCTACGTTCAAATAAGTAATTTTCTTAATGCAAGAAGTGGAGTTCGAAATAAATCGAAACAAAAATTGTGCTTTGTCCAACATATACTAATACGTACACCATTTAAGAACATTTCGTAATCGTCGTTTTTGTTGCAGCAGCAAAGGTCTCCGTTTGCAAATCTTTTAGCCCCCGCTGAGACTAAGTTCTTTATTCATAATACTTTATATCTTTTCTTACTTTATATCTTTATATCTTTTCCTAGCATATGACTTTCTCGAACGATTTCAAAAGTATTTTTTATAAAGATTACTCCTACTGAGTGTGTTACCGAATGCTAAAAATTACTCCACAATTATGTAAAAATTGACATTTTGGGAACTGAAGCTTCCTAGACTGGATTTTTGGGAAACACTATTGACCTCTCTCGAACTGGTTATTGCGATATTAAGGGGTTAAAACGAAATATTCGGAACCGTTGTAAGTTGTTTGAAACACATATAGGTATATGTGCTCTTTTTACGCGTGTAGTAGGACCTTAACGTGGTTGGTAAACAGCTCATGTTAAGGTCAACCGATTTCGATGAAATTTTCAGAATGCATATATGTTATCAAGATCTACAAAATGCATTTTTCAAATTTTCGTTATAAGCTGAGATAAAAAGGTTGCAAAGACATAATTTTTCAATTCTTTTATCATGTTAATAAATTGCAATTTTTTAAAATTATTTTTTAACCATTGTCTAGTATACTAATCCCTCTAACATAAAAAAAATGTAGACAGTTTGGACGAATACTTTCTACACCCACTGTAGATATACAGTCGGTCACGAAAATATTCGGACACCACTATAATTTTAACTATTATAATCCGTACTTTAGACAAATATTTAAAAAGAACAAAAAGAGGCTTCACGTATGTTACTATGCAGTATGTAGTTAACAAAAACATAAAAAATATTTATTTACGATACGTGGTTATATAAATAATTAATGAGAAATATAGAAAGAAGGCCTATTTTAATGTCACGAAAATATTCGAACACCATGAAAATTAAATTTATTTTATTGTACATAAATCTTACTTTTATAAATTAATATTTCGTTGCATATCCCATCTGCTTTATGACGTGTCGCAATCGTGTTGGCATATTACAAATTATTTTTTTAAAATAAACTTGCCCAATACGTAGCCATTCTTCTTGCAGACGTCGTTTGAGTTCTTCTTTTGTGTTTATGGGTGTTGTCCGAATTCTACGATCCAATTCATCCCATAAATTTTCAATGGGATTCAAATCTGGTGATTGCGGTGGTGGGTGGAGGACATTTTTACAAGTATATAAAAGGAATTCTTGCACAATTCGCGATTTGTGCTTTGGGTCGTTATCCTGATAAAACTTTATCCCATTTTTAAGACCCATATTTTCTGCACTTTTTTTTAAATTTTTTTGCAAAATGTGCAAATATCTATTTTTATCGAGGATATCGTCGATAAAAACAAGTTCTCCTACGCCATGGGCCGAAATACAGCCCCATATCATCACAGATCCACCACCGTGTTTCACAGTCGGCTGCAAATGTTTCGGATTTAATTCTTCCTTCGACTTTCGCCAGACTCTAATTCTTCCATCACTTCCATAAACATTAAATTTGGACTCGTCCGCGAAAATTACGTCCTCCCACCATTCACTGTCCTTTGCAATGTAGTTTTGTGCAAATCTCAATCTTTTCATTCTGTTCGCTGCGTTGATATACGGCTTCTTTCGAGCGATTCTTCCATTATAGCCCTCCGATCGTAACACTCTCCTTATGTTTTCTGGATGCACTGATATTCCACGGCATTCATTTAATTCAGTTGCTAATTTTGGAGCACTTATTCGAGGATCACATTTGATTTTCCTAATTATAGAGCGTTTATCGCGAACAGTTAAGATCGGTTTGCGTCCGCTTTGAGGGATAGATTCAATTCTATCTTCGTTCTTGTAACGTTGAACAATGTCCCATACGGTGTTCTTGCTAATGTTCAATAAATTAGCAATTTCGCGAATCGATTTCCCCTTTTCCCGATGAAAAATTATTAATTGTCGCATATTAAACGATATATTCATACTTTTCCGACCCATTTCGCATATGTTTCGAACAAGACTGATAAATATTTGATCTCTAACACACTCTGTAGATAGTATAAATGGTGTGTTTGCAAACATTGTTTCGGTTACTTCCTGGAACCTGGAAACTTGCGGTGTATAGCAAGTGTCCGAATATTTTCGTGACATTAAAATAGGCCTTCTTTCTATATTTCTCATTAATTATTTATATAACCACGTATCGTAAATAAATATTTTTTATGTTTTTGTTAACTACATACTACATAGTAACATACGTGAAGCCTCTTTTTGTTCTTTTTAAATATTTGTATAAAGTACGGATTATAATAGTTAAAATTATAGTGGTGTCCGAATATTTTCGTGCCCGACTGTATATCTACAGTGGGTGTAGAAAGTATTCGTCCAAACGGTCTACATTTTTTTTTATGTTAGAGGGATTAGTATACTAGACAATGGTTAAAAAATAATTTAAAAAAATTGCAATTTATTAACATGATAAAAGAATTGAAAAATTGTCTTTGCAACTTTTTTATCTCAGCTTATAACGAAGATTTGAAAAATGCATTTTGTAGATCTTGATAACATATATGCATTCTGAAAATTTCATCGAAATCGGTTGACCTTAACATGAGCTGTAAACGATTAAATATCACGAAAACCGCAGTTTTTCACGAATTTCAACCAAGAATAGGTAATTTTTACATCTTTCAGTGGCTGTAGCTTGACTATGGGTCGACCGATTTCGATGAAATATGCTCACACAAAAAAGTTAAAAACACAGCATTTTTTATTCTTTTATCGCGCCAAGAAATTACAATTTTTGAAAATAAGTTTTTAGCTACTGTTTTGTAAACTGATCACCCTAAAATCCCCCAAAAATGTATACCGCTTGGCGCAATTATAAAAAGGTTATTCCGTTTTAAAAGATGTACGAATACTTTCTACACCAACTATACAGGGTGTCCCAGGTTTTAATGTTCAAACTTCGTCAGTATATTCTATGGCACAAAGTAAGAAAAAGAATGTTATGTAAACATAGATCATATAGAGCTTTATTAAGAAGTTATAACAAAAATTCAGAATAGGAATAGTAATCAACTTACTGTTACTGCGAGCATTGGCTTGAATAGATCATCAATATTGTTTTTCAGTGTGTTTATGTAAGCTATGTTTACTATCTGAGGTCACCAAACATTGAAATGAATTTTCGCCAGTAATAGCTATTAGTAAGTTGTTGGTGTTCACATCTGCAACGGGAATGCACGAGCTGCAGCAAGGGAGTACCAACGCCGATTTCCTGGACGAAGAGCGCCGNTCAATATTGTTTTTCAGTGTGTTTATGTAAGCTATGTTTACTATCTGAGGTCACCAAACATTGAAATGAATTTTCGCCAGTAATAGCTATTAGTAAGTTGTTAGTGTACCAACGCCGATTTCCTGAACGAAGAGCGCCGGATTATAGAGTGTTCATACATTGTCACCAACAATTATTAACAACAGGATCCTTCAACTCATTTTGCGAAGGAAATGAATTTAATGGAGTTACAAGGTAACGAAATCGCAGTGCAAGAATACTGAATTTTTTTGATAATAATTCAGCAGCGAGTGTTGATAATGCCTCATATGAACTAAAGTTATCACGATCGACTGTATGGCGAACTCTCCACTCTGATAATAGACATCCGTATCATTACACAAGGGTACAAGAGTTTCTACCGGCTGATTATGAAAACCAATTGGAATTCTGTCAGTGGTACGTGTGTGCAGTGCAACAAGATAATTTGTTTCCATCAAAAGTATTGTGGACTGATGAATCGACGTTTACAAGAGGAGGACTTTTTAATGTGCATAATAATCATGTACGGGCAAGAAGAAATCCACATGTGACGCAAACAGTTGCTTTTCAACATCAATTCAAATGCAATGTATGGGCAGGCCTGTACAATGATATGACAGTAGGGCCTTATTTTCTACCGAATCGGTTGACCTCAACGGAATTTCTGAATTTTCTAAAAAACGAATTATCGTATCTTTTGGAAGATGTGCCATTGTATTCTGTGCAAAGGATGTGGATGCAATTGGATGGTTGTCCGGCACATTACGGAACACAAATTCGGCAATGGCTAAATAATCGGTTTCCTCAAAGATGGATAGGTCGGGATGGGTCAATCTCTTGGCCACCAAGATCGCTCGATCTTACGCCACTCGACTTTTATCTGTGGGGAACTTTGAAAGAGTACGAATAAATTCATGTCATGAATTGATTCAAAAAATTAATGATGCGTTCAATGAAATGAAAGAGAATAAAAATGAAATTCGCACGGTCATAAATTCGATCTTCGATCGATGTCAATCATGTATTGTCAACAACGGTAGACATTTCGAAATGTATTAATAAACACAGCTTACATAAACACACGGCATGTCCTGATCTATTCAAGCCAATGCTCGCAGTAACAGCAAGTTGATTACTAATCCTATTTTGAATTTTTGTTATAACTTCTTAATAAAGCTCTATATGACCTATGTTTACATAACATTTTTTTCTTACTTTGTGCCATAGAATACACTGACAAAGTTTGAACATTAAAACCTGGAACACCCTGTATATTTCCTGCTAACAACATTATTAGTCTGTGGTGTCTTGCAGTTCACAATACACAGTTTTAGCACTGTTTACGTACAGAGTTACGTAAAAAACATTAAAAAACATTATGTCGATTATATTGACGAATTTTTATTTGGTCGACGGTATAGTTTTGGCAATCGTATAAAAGCATTTTTACTTAATATTTCCTCTACATGATATTATCAATTACAATTTAATCATAAGTATAACGAATATAAATTACAATTACTTCTGCAAATACTGTTTTCATTCGACTTAACAGAAACCTAATCTATAATGTTTAGAAACACTAACGTTAACGTCGCTCGGCTTTAGTTTTCGAGATGTTTAAAAAGAACGTTAGTTAAATTTAGACTAGAAGTAAAATATAGGGGTTATTTACAATATTTATTTAAATATCTATATTTTAAATATAGAGATTTCAAAAAAAAGGTAAAGTGGAGGTTCCCAGTTAGCCAAGTCTACTTCGACCAAATATTGGGTTAGCAACTAAGTAATTGCCGATTTCAGTTATAGATGTCTCTCACTCCCATTTTTATGATATCCGTAAATGTTATATTATAAAATTATTATTATTATTATTATTATGTTATTTTTTATTACCCGTGAATGTTAGCAACTGGACAAATTGAATGCAGCGGTCAAGGAAAAGCGACCA